GAAAGAATATTCTGCCTTTCAATTCGATAAAGAAAATTCAGATTCTATTCTAATCTGCAAATCTTGCTTTATATATCTATATATCTATATATATATATATGTGTGTGTGTGTGAATGGATAAATAAATTCAAGCAAAATTTTGTATTATATACTTAATTATGATCAGAATTTCAAATGATGTATAATAGATGAAGAGTTTCCAATCTAAGTATGTTACAAATATAAATTAGCTCTATGAAATTCTAAACTAAGATTTTAATTAATATTAAATATAAAATTCTAATGATAATTTATACATGTAGATGCTTACTTTTTTTTGCCTCTGAAAAGTGTGACAACTAGTTTTGTTTTAGTTATTTATCTAATTTATTATTTATTATTTTCTAAAAGCATGTAAAAGGAACAGTATCTATATATTATATGGGGGGTAATGGGATGGTGAGCCATTCTCTCACCTACCAAACAAAACAAATTTCTCATTTTTTCAGATTTTTAATTTATATTTCTATTATCATGAACATCTATTAAACAGTGCGTTAAATATTGTCGTTATCTTAGTGAGTTAAATACTATTTTTTATATTAAAACATGCATAAATAAATCTCGACTAAAAAATATGGTATTAAATAATACAAAACTTATTTTTACTGCCATAAGCTTTATAAAAAAAAATAATTCAATTGCATAGTAAATTTTCAGAAATTTCAAAGAAATAGTTTATCTTAGCATGTGAAGGATTCAATATTATGTCAATGTCCAGTTTTATATATATATTAATAATTACATGTTTTGAAATTGCAATAAAGTCAAGTTCGTTAAAAGTACTTGGTGGTTCAACCGGTAAAAAATGAGCAAAACTCCTTTTTAACTCGGATTCAAGTCTTCATTTAGGGAAAGATATTCACGTGGGTTTCTCGATCTTCAGAGAGATATATTTTGGCTAAAGACCCGATGAACTTGTAGATTATTAAAAAAAAAAGTTCTTTAAAAGTAATCTAAAACGATTTTAAATAATTTGAGGTTCGATAAAATACAAAAGGACAACAACTAGTACTTCTACTAGTGTGTTATATATACACGCGGTGCATCCAACGAAAGTGTTTCCATCGTGGGGATTCTTTAGGGTAGTGGAGTGTTTGAAAGAAATTGTTCTAAATGAATAAGGATAGTGTGTGTGTGTGTGTGTGTATATATACACACTATACATAGTTCATATACAAAATATATTATAATCCAAACTTAAATAAAATGGGACAAACAAATAATTCCACCTTTATTGGAATCCACTCCTCTTAACCTTTCTCTATACTTATCCGAATATGGTCATATACCATTTCAATAAGACAATATCAACCAAAAGGCCATCAACAAAAACCAAAGAAAGTTGGGACCATAATAGTGAGAAATAATGAAATGGAGACGTAACATTTGTGATCCTTGATTTTCTTGGAAGGCAACAGGAGGAGCTGTGGCTGGAAGCGATGCGTGTTCCGCCGTGTCTTCAGGCGCCCGAGCCGACTACGGCTGGCGGAACACCGACGGCACACAACGTTGTTGCAACACGATGAACGATATCTCTTACGATCTGACACCTAGCGATAACTCAGGCTTTATCGTCTCATGACCTCTATTGCGCGGGAAAAACTAGGAACGAGTGGACTCGATTATCTTACAATGTTAGAGAGAGTATACATACATATATCAATGATATTATCAGGATATATTATAGATATATATACTGGATTCCTAGTTTTTTTTATATTATGGAATTCGAATTCTATGTCGATATATACGTTATTCGATTGAATGAATGAATAGAACAAGGCATGATTCTGTGTGAATGGTTTAATGGAAGTGTTTCTAGACAACGTTATTCTCTTACCGTTTCATGGGTGTTGTAGTAAATGGATGAAGTATTTATAGATTCTCTATCAATTGGTAGAAAGATAATAAATTTACCAAAAAAAAAAAAAGAAGGATAATAAGACATTAGGAAGAAGCCAAACAGATAGAAAAGGCATAGAATTTTTTTTACTCGACTTGTCGGAAATAATCAAATTTCTCCAACGCTGAAAAAGTTGTTTAATTCAACAGCTTTATGCAAATTTTGGATGGGGGATTATATATTTGAAAATAAAAAGGATTAAAAGATGAACAAATCTATAATTCTCTTTACAAAAAAAAAAACAAATCTGTAAACTCTGATGGGATTTATATAATAAAAAAAAAAAAAGAGCTGAAGAGACGTTGTCTTTTATGACACAAGAAATTGCAATTCAAAAAATACTTGATTCATGCATGGTCATGGGCCCACACTTTTTTTTTAAAAAATATTCACTCACGCATATCTACATTTCTTACAATTTCATAAATAGTATACTATTTGAATTCATATCTTTTGAAAAATAAACAAAAATATTACACCCCGGATTTTAATGATAAACATAAATATATTTATTTCCAAAATAATAATTATAAAATTTATTCCCTATAAGGTAGGAGCTATAAATACAGTAAAATTGATATGTTACTTATTTATTTGGATGTAATGATAAAAGGTCAGAGATTCCTTTTTCGCCGAAACTAGACAATTTGGTACAAAAAATACGATAAAATATTATGAAAACTGCTCAAATAATTTGTTGTTATATCTTTTTAAATTGAAATTTTTGTCTCTTGGTTCATTGGAAATGAGTCAAATGACGACGTGCCACGGCTTCTGATTCTTCCGGTGGTGCGCTTTGTTTTTGTTTTTTCTTTTACCATATTAAATCAAAGTTTATTAATTTATTACTATATGTAGTTATGCCTTTTATAGAAATTAGGTAAGTTTGAGGAATTTCATGAAATATTTGCTTACTATGATTGCAATCAAAGTCCCATATAAATAAATTGTGAAGCAAACTTAAGAACTTTTGACACCTTGTGAGACCCCTTTTGTGTGCAACATTGAAGAAGAAACATGACAAAAAAGGAAAGATGTCCATTTGTATGTATATATGTACATGCATGTGTGTGAAAGTGCACACTAAAATAAAAAAGAAAACAATTAGAATCAGGATAAATCTCATTAAAATTTCTAAACTTATAAAGTGGTAAAAAAATATTTTTTATAACTTTTCGTTTCACACATTTTCTTCTAAATTTACATAATATGTCATTATAATTCTCAAATTTGGTAATTGGTGCCAAAACAAATTTTGACGAAGTTAATTTAGAAATCCATTTAGTAATTATAAATTATAATGACATATTTATAAGTTTGGAAATAAATTTGTCAATCGAATAGTTTAGTAATTAATTTTACACCGTACCAATTTATAAATTTATAAATTTTAATAAAGAAATGGTATTTTTTTATGGGAGTTTTAACATGAATTTTGGACATGAGAATTGACATTTCAATGGGTGATCCAACGTTTGATAACCACTTACTTTGTTGTCTTAAGAAAGGGTCTTTTGATTAAGTGGCAAGTGGGTTTTTGTTTTTTCTCAAACATTGATAGTTTTGTCTCTCCATTGATTTCGTTCTTTCTATAATCATGGGATTATTAATCACATTTGGCTTATTCTGCCAAATTTTAAAGTGTGTTTGCATCTTTGTCCTTTGGCTTAACAACAAAAAATATGTGATTTATGCACTAAATTCGTTCCAACAGTGTTTTGGCGCCATGTAATTATCACAAATAGAGATTTAAAATGAGATGAACAATGGAGATCATGGTGTGATTTGATAAGTGATGCCTCATAAAGTTTCACACACTAATCATCATGTGCATTATTAATTCTGTGGCATGACAACCCTGTTATGTTTATTCTATTCCTTAATAATGGTTAGAACTATTTTTGTCACATATCATTTCACAATATTATTAAATTCGATAAATTCTATAATGATATGACACTCGAATCACGATCAAATTTCACGTCCCCACGCGATCTCGTTCCTCCGTTTGTTTCTATTAGATCATATACAGGTTATTAATTACCAAACTTTAGTTTAACACAATATAATTATGGTTTCTACTTCTGTTTACATTCATATATGTAAATATTCTACGTAACTTAGTACTAATACACATAATATATAGTTCATACCAAGAAATCGTGGCCGAATAGTTATAGTTTTGATTGGAGGATGTGGTTCGGTATCATATGTTCCTGAAATCCCATGTTTACAATAAGGCAATTTTCCGATTCATGGTGGATGTAGTTGTACTAATATTCAGTGAACCAACTCAATACCATATATATATTACTATCATACCAGAAAATGCATTCACCCTCTGTTCGTAAATTGAAAATTACAAAAAAACTTCCAAATTAAATATTGTTTTTTTGAAGAAAAAAAATATATGTATATGTATTTGTGCATGGGTGTATGTATGTATGTATGTATGTATGTATAATTTTACACCAAATGCATACATATAAATAGTAATAATTGTTGTCTACTCTCTCTCTCTCCGGCGGCTGAACTCGACGGACAACGACCACAGCCAATTGAGACGCACTCCGTCGCATCAACCGGAATTTCCGGTTTAGCTAACCGGAACATCATCTTGTTAACCGGCGGATTTTTAACCGATATGGCAGCTCGGAAGCGATTCCCTGGCCATGTGTCCCAATCCAATGGTTGTTGCAAGACAAAAAAAAAAAAAGATCAAACCAAGAACCGTAATTACCAAACCAAAACGAAATATCTCTCCCGGTTAGGTGGATATGGTTAAGAGAGGAAACCGGATGAGGCAAATGGATGTGGTTACGAGTAGGCAAACAGTTCGGTTCAATCTATTAGATCCCGATCAATTCTGATTCGGTCATTCCGTGTTTTAAGATTTTATAACCAAATGGTTTTGTAATTTGATTCGATCCAATTGCGACTTAGTTGTATCTAATTAAAATTGTAAACAAATAATAAATAAATCTAAATTTAGTTCGATATATATATATGACCCGTTTAATTTTAATGGATTCAGTTAAATTCGACTCGGTCGGATTGTTTAATAATGGACATCTCGAGATTGCATATATAAGACGAGACCTGTCTTTAACATTAGACATTAACCATCGGAATGAACGACAAAAGCAAGAAGAGTTTCAGGAGGAGAGCCGACAAAAAACCCAACTCCAAGTTTGTTGTGAGAACACCAACTAACTCCAAGCTATGGCTTATACCCCAAAAAAAAAAGGGCGGCTTTGGAAGTGGGAGCCAGAATCCGAGGATCAAACGATTTTTGCGTTTGAAAAGTCCATCTCTGGGTGCTGCAGAAGAACATAAGATGCTGTAAGAGAAATAAGATGAAACTGGTAGGAAGAACAACAAAACAACAATGGAGAAGTTTTAGAGACCTCGGCCATGAATTTCTTCAGAATCTCTTGCTTCTGTAATTCATCGCTCGTCGGCAGACCCATCTGCTTCTGCCTTTGATCAAACTGTGGAAAGTATACACAACTCCATGTCACGTTTGAAAGTCACCATTTAGAGATGGTTGGGAGGAAAGTTGCGTAAAACCCGACTCTTGAAAGTTTACCATCATTTTCTCGACGGTCTGCCTGGTTTCTGGGTCAAGCTCGGATAGCTTGCTGTTCTCCGGTTCAACTTTCTGAGTGTCTATCTCGGGTTCTCCTTTCACAAGAGATTTCCACCATTCCATCTGATCGTGTTTCGTCAAGAGAACTGACATCACCTTTTGATCTTCTGCAAATACCGAGAAAATCCGAAAAACCAAACGTGACTACATCTACCAAACAAAAGGGTTCCTAACTTCATTATTTCTCGGCTCTTACAATGATCATACTTGTCTCATTCAGGGAAAGAAATAAACCAAAATCTATTCAAGAGTAAGTAGAAAAACATACCAATGTTCCAGTAGCAGTCATCAGGCTTCACGGGACGGTAGAGTTCCCCCTGTACTCATCCAAAGTTGCAAAGCTTAGGACCATGTTTCTAGAAAAGATCAAAGACCGAAGAGGATAATATGCGTCAAGAATATCGGTAACTTACATCTATAATAGGAGGCTGTCCTTTCAGACCAACTTTCAGGCTGTTCTTCTTGATCTCACAGACAACTAACCTTGCTTTAGTGCCACAAGGGACAGGAATGTTAACTGTGACCTCCTGGAGGGTCTGGGTCCACGAGTAGTTATCAAAATCAAGACCATTGCCTTGGTTCGGAACTGCATTCGAGTCAGATGAACATGAGGAGGTCAGTTCGAAAGAACAAGAAAACAGCAACCACAATCAAAAGCGCTCAAGTAGATTGTTCAATCGATGACCATAACAGGGGGGGGGGGGGAGGA